TGCTGTGGACTCAGTCTGGTTTCTTCCGTCCCTACCTCTTTCCTTCCTTATCCCCCCTTTTCTGTCTCTTCTTCTTTCTCTTCTTCCTTCCTTCTCTACCTCTTTCTTTCCTTCCTTTCTTCTCTCCTTCCTTCCCTCTTTCCCTCCCTCCTTCTCTCCATCCTTTCCTATGTATCTTTCCTTCATTCTTTCTCTTTCTTTCCTTCCTTCCCTTCCTTCTTGCCTTCCTTCCCTCCCGCTTTCATTTCTTCCCTCTTTTTTCTTTCCTTTTCTCCTTCCTTCCTCCCTTCTTTCCCTCCCTTTTTCCTTCCTTCCCCACTTTTCTTTCCCTCCATCTTTCTCTTCTTTCTTACTTCTCTACCTCTTTATTTCCTCTCAAAGCTGGTATGGCCAGCTCTTTCACTTGCGCAGGAGGGGGCGGAGTCAGGGGAGTTGTTTCCACACATGCATTGTATCATCATTTAGGTTTTGGGGCTTTTTAAAGTCCCTTCCACTGCATTTTTCAGTGTTTTTATGACTGAAGGTCACTCATTGTTCTGTTAGGTGTCTTCTGGCCAAATTTTGTGTCATTTCGTCTTGTGGGTTTTTTTAGTTATGTTAATCCCACAAACTAAGATTACATTTTTATTTTTATAGATGGCTTTCTGTGGGAGAGCAGATGGCAACTACTGGATGGCATATGTTCTGTATCAGAAACTAGAGCTGATGTGGTCTATCCAATGCAATTTTCTGAATCAGCACCCCAAATAACCAAACCTAATCTAAAGTTGACCAAAAATTGATTTGTAACCCTTTTGGTACTAATGTTGGAGAGTGGTCCCCAACCAAATTGGTCCCTGGTCAAAGTAGTCCCTGGTCAAGGTAGTCCCTCATCAAAAAAAGGTTAGGAACCACTGGTTTGAAGTGAATTTATTGGATTCTTTATGTAATTGAAACACTTTTGTGTATTACTTTAGCTATGTTTTGGTTTAATTTATATTATAAGTTGCCTTGGTTCCCATACTGGGAGAAAGGTAGGATACAAAGGTAGGAAGTTTCCACTTCCACTTTTTTCCCAAATTAAATACACGTTTTATTACTTTGTTTCAATGTCTTGCTTTACATAAGAAGAGGCTATACCTTCATAATGCTGTTTGAAGTTCATGCATTCTTCAAGGAGCTCCAGGGAGAAATTAACAATGTGCCAAAAAATGAAATGGTACTTTCCACACATCACATTTTGTAGTTGAACTAATAGCCAAATTGAGCCAAGCGGCAAATAGCTGGAAACCCTTGAAAGACCATTTTCCAAGTCTGGCTAGTGTTTTTCCACTCATTAGCCTGCCATACTCTCTCTTTCCACAGGCTTTGGAACAATAAGGCACCATATTTCTGTCTCCAAAATGAGAACAGTGGCCAAAGACTCATGTCTTGAGTTGATATGTTAATAGAGTCTTCATGCTGCCATGGCAACTGTTTGACATATCACTCATCAAGACAGTATTACGGCTCCTTCCCCTTGTGTGCACAACTGTGTAAGTACATGCCAGTTCCCTATGGCGTGAGGCTCATGGAGGCATTTCCAGATTTGCTGTGGGAGGATGTATTGACTCTCAGCACGAATATCCCTCATCTGGGCCTCTGGAAAAGGTGTACAGGAAATCCTAGGCACATAGATCCACTTCTAAGCCCAGCCAGGCATTCATGTCAGAATCAAAGTATTTCCCCCCTTTTCTCTTTTTAAACTAATTGGATTCAGTCCCCTGCTCCCTTCCTCCCCAGAGGGGCCCCACAACGCGATTTACCATGGGGTCATCAAGTTGCCATGACAACAGTCTGCCATGTCACTCATCAACAGAATATTATCCCCGTTCCCTGGTGAATGCAAATGGGAGAAGGTTGGAGAAAAGTCGCCATCCTAGTTTCCAAAGACACCCAACACACAGCATCTCAGATCCCAATATTATTTTACATATCCTATAAAACGGCATTATACCTATCATGGTTTCTCAAGGGAATCATGGCAGAATGCTGTGCAGAGAACTGTTATTAAGGCAGCATTACACCCGTCTTCCTGTACTAATCCACATCCAATAAAATATTGGAACTGGGTTAGTACAGGAATTGGCTATGTCCTCCAGGGTGACTATGGCAACTTAAATCAGAAGTCCTTCATTTCAATAAGGTTCACTATTACCCATGGTTCACTACAGGGTTTACTATTATTATGGTTCACTATAGGGTTCACTATTACCCACAGTTCGCTATAGGGTTCACAGTTACCCATGGTTCACTATAGGGTTTTCTATTATTCATGGTTCACTATAGGTGCCCTCTGTGGTGAAGCAGAATAAACCACTGAGCTGCTGAACTTGCTGACCAAAAGGTTGGTGGTTCAAATCCGGGGAGCGGGGTGAGCTCCTGCTGTTAGCCTCAGCTTCTGTCAACCTAGCAGTTCAAAAACACGCAAATGTGAGTAGATCAATAGGTACCGCTCCAGCGGAAAGGTAACGGTGCTTCATGCAGTCATGCTGGCCACATGACCTTGGAGGCATCTACGGACAACACTGGCTCTTCGGCTTAGAAATGGAGATGAGCATCACCCCGCACAGTTGGACACGACTAGACATAATGTCAAGGAGAAACCTTACCTTACCTTTAAGGGGTTCACTGTTACCAATGGATCACTACAGGGTTCACTATTACCCATGGTTCATTATAGTATTCACTATTATTCATGGTTCACTATAGGTTTCACTATTACCAATTTCCTGTTTCCAGTGTAGGTTCAGCAATGTATTCCCCGCAGATACATGGTTGTGCTATATATACTGGAGATACAGATTACCTCCACATCCATTAATTTCTCACCTCCTCCTCCGCAGTCAAAACTTGTTGCAAAATGTGTGAATCCTTAGCATTTCTTGACCACATTCTGCACCCTGAGGCACAAAAGTCACCACTAGATAGTACATTATCAAATAATCCCTTATAATTTCTGTGGGAGATGTCCTAAATAAATAATGTGTGGGCAATCATTTAAACTTGAAGTTCTGAAACCTCTTACTTTAAGAAATATAAGCATTCAGTACAACTGTGAAATCATATTTTCAACTGCCTTGCCAGCCTGAAACACAGCATGGTCATACCCATATCCTTATAGTTAAAACTTTTGTTTTGCTAGATCCTATAACAGCTTGCTCCTTGACCTTTGAGGAGGGGAAAAAACCCTCCAAGACAGGCATCTGGTTACAGAGTAACTTGGCCACTGAACCAAACTACATCCTAATCTCAACAAAGGGTTGTGTAGTTAGATACCCATTCCTGTACTGGATTAACTCCAGAGCCTTCATTTCCCTTTTCAGAGCTGAGTCAGGTGTTCTTGAGACCAGGGATTGAACAAACATGTTCCTTTTTCAAAAGGTGATTTTAATGCTTTTTATTATTTATGGGGTAAGGTTTAGGGTTTAGCTGGGGGTTTCTAAGAATTTTTAAAAGGGGGATTGGAAATGAACAGACACACATAAGGTAAAAAAATATAGTTTTGGATTTCAAAAACAGTAACAAAATTGTCTTCAAAATGGCGAAGGTAGGGTCTTAGCTAACAGGACATAGTCCATTTAGCTCAGCAATGTGCAGCTACTCAGTAGCTCATATACAACAATTATTTATCATCCTCCAGAGAACAATCTGTAGTCTGTGTATTCGATACATACAGAGAGAAAATAGCTGTGAAACTTTGGGTATCATCTTGCTTACAAGGGAGACTATTACGACAATTCAGTTATTTACTCCTTGATTTTTAATGTAGTTCTTCACTATATGGCTTCCATAGTCTTTTGTCCTGAAAATATAACATATTTGCTTATTAGTCAACCAACCTTATTGAATGCCATCCAAACGTTCTACCAATCACAACTCAAGTCCAAGATTTGCTAAAATTTGTTGTTGTTTATTCATTCAGTCGCTTCCGACTCTTCGTGACCTCCTGGACCAGCCCGCGCCAGAGCTCTCTGTCGGCCGTCACCCTCCCAGCTCCTTCAAGGTCAAGCCAGTCACTTCAAGGATAATATTCATCCATCTTGTCCTTGGTTGGCCCTTCTTCCTTTTTCCTTCAATTTTCCCCTGCATCATTCTCTTCTCCAAGCTTTCCTGTCTTCTCATTATGTGGCCAAAGTACTTTATTTTTGCCTCTAATATCCTTCCCCCCAGTGAGCAGCCAGGCATTATTTCTTTGAGTATGGACTGGTTTGATCTTCTTGCACTCCAAGGCACTTTCAGAGTTTTCCTCCAACACCACAGTTCAAAAGCGTCTATCTTCCTTCACTCAGCCTTCCTTATGGTCCAGCTCTCACATAGGTTACTATGAGGAATACCATTGCTTTAACTATGCGGACCTTCGTTGCCAGTGTAATGTCTCTACTCTTCACTATTTTATCGAGACTGGTCATTGCTTTCCTCCCAAGAAGTAAACTTCCTATGATTTCCTTGCACCTAGAAATACAAAGTCAGTAATTGCCTCCATGTTTTTCCCCTCTATTTGCCAGTTATCAATCAGTCTGGTTGCATTCATCTTGGTTTTTTTGACGTTTAAGCACAATCCAGCTTTTGCACTTTCTTTCCACCTTGGTCATAAAGCTCTTCAGCTCTTCCTCACTTTCAGCCATCTAAGTGGTATCATCCACATATCTATGTTTGTTAATGTTTCTTCCAGCAAATTTAACTCCAGCCTTGGATTTGTCAAGCCCCGTGTTCTGCATACAAGCTGAATAGGTCGGGTGAGAGCATACAACCCTGCCATACTCCTTTCCCAATTTTGAACCAGTCTGTTGTTCCACGGTCAGTTCTTACAGTTGCTATTTGGCCGTTATACAGATTCTTCAGGAAAGAGACAAGGTGGCTTGGTATCCCCATACCACCAAGAACTTGCCACAATTTACTATGACCCACACAATCAAAGTAAAGCCAAACTAAAATAAGCAACAAAAATATATTGGATCAATACATGGCTTTTGCCTTACCTTCTCAGCCAGGAGCTCCCGGATCTTACTAGCCTGCAGGCGGAATTTGAAAAGCTGTGTCTCTAACATAAAGCATCGTTTCTGCCAGTCCGTGCAGCTGCCATTTTCTGCAGTGAGCTCTGCCATTTTGAACTCCTTCTTTACACTGTTCAGAAATTCCTAAATGAGTAAGATCAAGAAGAAAAAAATCTGTCATTTATTTGTTGTCTTGATAGGTCTCCTGCCTTCACATTGCAAAAGGTTCTACTTCCCAATAATATGTTTATTTTTTAGTAATACAAGAGAATGCCTGTATGTTTGCTGGCCTATGGCAGTCACAATTATTCTTGATATTGAACTATATATCTCAATATTGGATGGAGTTATTGGCTGTTGCCCATCTTGAGTTGGAATTCCAAATTCCAAACTGGGTATATGAGTGGATCGCTAAAAACAAAGAAACAGAACCAAGATATACCTCAATGGGAAACTGTGGTCAACAACTTAAAAGTTGATAGAGTGCTTTTTGTAGCCATCCTGGTAGCAGTGCCCAGTTCAAAAATGAAAAGCTGGAATTACAAATGTGATAGATTTCTAGAATACAAAAAGAAGGGAGGGGGGGCTGTCAGAATTTCTTGAGACACTTCAGTTTCTATAGAATGCTTTTGAATACTTCCTAAGCTGAAATAAACAAATTGAAATCAGAATTTTAGTCGGGGGATTTCCAGTCAGGGAAAAAATAAGTCAACTCAGTGGAAAATATTTTAAATGTTATAAAAGAGAAGAGAACTACTCGTTTTTATGATACATGCTTGCCCATCACTTGATGACCTCAGCATCTCAACAGCAATGTTTTTTTCCAAGTTGAGCCAGCCCACTACACCAATCTGGTAGTCAACTGGTAGTCACCAAGTGTGCCATAATCAAGTGCTGAGGAATCATACATTTGGGACTCAAGTCTCATAACATAAGACTTGAAAAGTGCACTATAAACCAGTAGAAACTGTAACACTGTGTAACACGATTTTTGTTCCTGGGTTATAAATGTCATTTCCCAATTGGATCTATCATAAAAACATGGGGGAAGGGTATTAAACTGCAAAAACTTTGCTATAGCTTTTCAATGAGTCTCAACCAATTCAACATATGGTAGTTTGTGGAAGCTACAAAAACAAAGTTTCTGGAGTATAACAACTACTTTCAAAATACCACACAATTAAATGGGAAATAACACTTTCAAACCAAGAACATTTTTTTCAAATTTTATTACATAGTATAATGTGGCAAGTGCAGACATAATATGTCAATATTTTGAATGTCTTTAGCTATACTGTAATTATTTTATATTGTGAGAAGATATGACTCTCTAGATAAGACAATAATGAAGCCAGCGTGTATAGCTTTGAGCATTTAATTAAGACTTTGGAGAGCAGGGATTGATTCCCATTTGGTCACGAAGACCCACTGGAGAGGCCTTGGGCAAGACACACTCTTAATCTCATAAAATCCTGTTCATTTTAGGATCACCATAAATTGGAAATGAAAGATGGCAGTAGGAAAAGTGGAAGACTGCATTTCAAGTGGAAGGTTTCAAACAAAAACACCACAGCCATGAGTTTGCGAGTCCAGAGCAGGACTGTTAAAGACAGGCCTGTAGCGAGGGGGGGGGGGAGGGGTTCAACCCCCCCCCCCCAAAATGTTTCAGATTTTTTAAAAAACCTGGTTTACTCATGAATTTTAACTGGTTAACCAAATCCCATGCTAAGTCTATGAGATGCAAAAATTAAGAGTCCCTCCAAAACTGCAAGCACTATCTTAACCAAATTTTGATTATTTATTTACACTGCATACTTTTCTCCCCACCTACCTGTGTGACCGCATCTCTGTGTACGAACCCACATGATCTCTTCGTTCAGCTGGAGAGGCCCTATTCACGATCCCACCTGAATCGAAAGTGCAATTGGCGGGGACGAGGGATAGGGCTTTCTCGGTGGTGGCCCCTCGACTCTGGAACTCTCTCCCTAAGGACATCAGGCAAGCCCCAGCCAGGATAACTGCATGCCCATCCCCCTCCAAACGCCTACCCTTTTCACCTGGTCATGCCCAGCACTTTTTAATTTTAATTATTACATTTGGCCCTGCCACAGATTTTAATTGCGTCATGATGTGTTGTTAATGTTATTGCCTTGTTTTTGAGTTATTTTGCTGTATTGCTGTTGTTGTTTTTACTGTTGTATTTGGGCTCGGCCTCTTGTAAGCCGCACCGAGTCCTCCGGGAGATGGTAGCGGGGTACAAATAAAGGTTTATTATTATTATTACTGTTATTGTGGGGTGTGTGTGTTGAATGTTCTCATTAAGGAGGCCAGACTTGGTGGAGGTAGTTGACGGGCGGAGCTGCAGACTATTGAAGGCTGCTCTGCTCCCTGCTGTGCTTTTTGCTTCAGCGTGAGCTAGAAGGCAGGTTTCAACCCCCTCCCCCGGTGAAATTTTTAACCCCCCCACCGAAAATGTCAACCCCTCCCGAATTTTTTTTCTGGCTACTGCCCTGGTTAAAGACAAAGTGACTTAGAGGTCTCACATTTATAGCAGTCAACTTGATAGCAGTTAATAACAATGATTTTAATGGGTTGCTCTGAGTTTTTTGGGCTGTATGACCATGTTCCAGAAACATTCTCTCCTGACATTTCGCCCACACCTATGGCAGGCAACCTCAGAGGTTGTGAGGTCCAACAGGATTTTAATATGTAAAACACTTGGGGAAAAGACAGGCATAACATTTTTCATTACCCTCATCTTCTGAAAATGATCAAAACCTCTCTGGTTTCCATATTCTCTTTTTCTCTCCAGCACAGCTTTCGAATTTAGACCACCAAGCAGTGGTTTCTCAACCTGTGCTCTGCAGAGCCTTAAGGGCTCTGTGTGCACTTCCCAGGGGCTCCATGGCCACTCCAAGAACATAAAAATAAAAATGAATGAAAATAAAGAATATAAAACTAAAAGTAGAATCAAAAGAAGAAAAATAGAAATTACATTCTGAACATAAATTTGCTAAGTTGAATTTGCCACTGTGCAAAAAAAAATGCAACCACAGGTATCTCACTAAATGTTTATATGTTATTTTATGTTACGTCTTAATTTCGGACTACAGTTGCACTATTGTGCACTCTAGTTCTGTTGTACTGCAAACAGTTTGGTTTACTGAACTTTGGAAGAATTTTTAAAAAATATATGGTCAAGTTTTGACAATATCATGTGTATTGGTAGTAGTTGAGAATAAATTGAGATATTATGGTAAATTTCAAAGTTTTTAAAATACAATGCCATTGCTTGGACATTGCTCAATTATTTACATTCCCTTGTTATTATCTTCCTCTTTGGGGGACATGGAAAGAGCCTCCTCGAAGACTGAGTAAATATAGTTGGGCGTCCTCTGGGCAACATTTCTTGTAAATGGCTAATCTTCCCAGGCCAAAAGCATTGCTTTACAACATTTATGCAATGCTTTTGACACAAAATAATAACAATAATCTTCCTCTCCTCCCCCCCCCCCCCCCCCCCCCCACCAAAAAGTAACACAACTTCTAAATACCATTAACTTGTAAGACATAGGGTAGGCCTAAGGGGCTCCGCCATAGAAATTGATTCTAAAAAGGGCTCCACAAGTCAAAAGGGTTGGGAACCACTGTCACCAAGTCACATTGACTCTAATACTTGCTAGCAAGTCTTTTCCAACAGCTTGTCACTGTGTATTTAATCACTTAGCATGTGGTTTTTGCTAAGGAAGCATGAATAACAGGGCCTGTTGCTTAGTGTACACTTAAGATTCACATGGCCAATGTGTCCCTTCATTAGAAGGCCATGATATAATTGAAGTGGGCAGAAGACACAATATACCAAGTGTCCTTACAGATGACAGAAACCCTTCTGTGGTAAAAGCTTTGTTTATGAAGTGTCCAAGCAAATCAGATAATGAGAGAAAAGATAAAGCCAGGTTCATTAGGTTTCAGAAGGGCCTTACATCACTAATTTACAGTATAAAATATATTTAGTCATGTCAATTTGTCTGTTTTAATTATCTTTGGGCATCCTTTTTGCTTGCTCTCTAAAAGGATATAAATGTAAAAAGTTGCTGAAATCTTGGGAGAATGGTCAAAAAATGGAAAACTCTATAAAATATTGTGATTAATTAATCAACACACAAAAATGCTTGGAGGTAAAGCAGAAATAATTAATTCATCAACATTTAAATTACCACCCTCAACATCATTTATGCAAATATAATTTACCACCCACCAAGAATTGGTAACATATCAACTTTAAAAAGTTGTTGAAATTAGGAATATAACAACCCCATGAGACTTTAATAACCAAACTGACAAAACAATTAGAACTAAATATGCCAGACAATGAGTGAGAAAAAGAAAACTTGAATTATAGATGCAGGAATCTCAGGAGAATCAAAGAGAAAGAGAAGGAAAACATTATGAAGTCTAAGACAAATTGAGATTCAGTGTCCCTAGGAAATAACAACAGAGGTTCCTGTATGATACGTTATCTTAGAGCAATCCTAGTAAAGTCACTATAAATAAAAATCACAATAGCACATTGAGGAAAATTAATATTCATTAGAATGTGCCACATTATCTGAAGATATTTCACTGAATCCTAAATTCTTAGACTCAATCCAAATAATTGATGCTTGAACATTCAGATCTTAGTAAAGTGAATCCAATGGGAACAGTTGTTGTAATACATAATAATAGTAAGTAGGAATCCAAAGGTTGCAGATTGATTTATGCAAGTATCTCATTGGTTGTTAGCATACACAGTGCATTTGAGCAATGTCTATAAGGAAACCATGAAAATGCATTAGATGCTTTCTGGAACTTTAATGCTCACATATAAAAAATAATTGAAATGTTTTGGCAAGATGCCACAATATTAGCTGCTGTTCTATTTCTGATCACTTTTGCTGCTAAATATAGATGCATAATGACCGCTTCAGAGTTTATCACATGAGGCAGGCAAATCACAATTACAGCAGGACAATAGTGTCTTTGCTTTGGATTTATCACATGATATTGCTGCTTTCCCGCTGCTCTCCCAGTGGAACACTGTGGTAAGGCTTTTCTTTGAAAAAGGAGGTCATTAGCCAATTATTTGTATTTCTAAAAGAAATGTTTTCCAGGCCATTTGCCATTGGGAGTGTGGTGGGAAAGGAGGAAAGTCATGTGATAATTCAGCAAAGCGGCTGCTGTCTTGTTGTAACTTGTAATTCTTCAGAAAATTTTGAGCAGAGATCACTATCATATTATTATCAGGGCTGAAATCTTAAATGTTATGTATACCAGGAAAGAAGGCCCACTGATCCCAATGGGTTTCACTTCCAACTTAACATATTAAGGACTGAATTGCAGGGTCTTGATAGGACATCCCAGGGGCCGCTTGACTCTTAGTATGTCACATCTTGAGGCCCAAGAGTTAGAGATCTGACCACCAACTATCCAAAGTATGAGCTCCTAAGCCAGTGGTTCTCAACCTGTGGGTCCCCAGATGTTTTGGCTTATCACTCCCAGAAATCCAAGCCAGTTTA